TAGCAATTATTGGTGGGGAAGTATTGTCTTTCTCGGGGGCGTAGGGTTCTTGGCAACTGGAGTCTCAAGCTATTTCAAAGTAGATGTGTTGCCATTTCTCTCTTCAAAAACTATTGCCTTCTTCCCACAAGGGTTGGTGATGTGCTTTTATGGTGTCTTGGGATTGCTGTTTAGCAGCTACCTTTGGTTTGCGTTACTTTGGGGTGTTGGAAGTGGTTTCAACGAATTCAATAAAAGAGCCGGATTAGTGCGTGTTTTTCGATGGGGATTCCCCGGCAAAAATCGACGAATTGATTTTTCTCATTCACTCGATGACGTTGAAGCCATTCGAGTAGAAATAAAAGAAGGGATAAACCCACGCCGAACCATTTACATGCGAATTAAAGGGAAACGAGACATACCTTTGACTCGAATTGGGCAACTTATGACACTTGATGAGATTGAGACCGAGGCGGCTGAGTTGGCTAGATTTATCCAGGTGTCACTCGAGCTGGCCTGATGCGATACGCTGCAGGCGTAAGGCTAACATTATAATTTCTAGACCCAACGCAGCTAATCTACAGCTTCGGTTCGGTTTTCTCGCTTTCTACCGGTTTGTCTTTCATGGTGTCTATAAATAAGAGAAGCGCAACGTTTGCAGTGCAGGGAAGTCGGAGCAGGAGAACTTCTTTGTCTACTGTGACCTCTTGCTTGCGGGTCTTTAAAAATGTGCTTGTAATTAGGGACTGGCTGATCGTGTCGGTAAACCCTCAGGGACTACCTTTGATGAGAGGCGTGGGGGAGGTCTTGGGGGCAGGGGATGGGGGAGGTCTTGGGGGCAGGGGATGAGGGAGGTCGTGGGGGGCTTTGCCCCCCAACTCCCCCAACCCATGCGCAGCAACTCCCCCAACCCATGCGCAGCAACTCCCCAACTACATTATTAATTGTACAACAATTTTCTGTCATCTACTCGAGGTAGTAGTTGGTTGAGGGAGCAACCTACCCCTAAATTACTTGGCTCAGTAGCAGAAAGCTACTACACCAATTGAGTAGAACCACCTTTTTTGTTACAATAGAATTCATACAACCCCCATTAAAATGCCAAAAACTTTGGATTGGCACATCGGTTTGTGGACTCACAAGCTGGTAGTAATCTCCAAGCTCGATTTGTATGATATAAATAGTGTTAAATCAAGGCAGGGTTACAAAAGGGTGTGGGTTGGCTGACCACACCTTCATCGAACTTCAACCCAACGAACCCCCGGCCTACGAAGGAGCTAAGAGGGCAGCGATGAAGGATAAGTACTCCAAAGACCTCGCACCTCAAGCCGGCCCCATAGGGAAAAGTGGTCAAATCGCAAGCAAGGCGCCACTGGTTGCATGAGGATTTTTGCCCATTTCAGCATAGAGCCTTGTGTGGTTGCACACCCTAACCGTTTGGCGATTCGTCTTGGGGGGATTTCCCCCCCTTCACCTGTGAGGCCTGGGAAGTCTGGAAGGCCTGTAACCCTTATAACGCCTGTGAGGCCTCGTCCGGCTGAGATGGATTAGTTTCCAAGATCTCTTTGGACAACTTAGACAGCACCAAATTCTCTTTTATTCCCCTTATGAACACCTCTGTAAAAACCAAAAACGTAGGCCGAATTACTCAAATCATCGGCCCAGTTCTTGATGTGGCTTTCTCACCAGGGAAGATGCCAAACATCTACAATGCGCTTGTGATCCGAGGCAAGAACGAAGCGGGTGACGAGATCTCTCTGACATGTGAGGTTCAGCAGCTTTTAGGTGACCATTGCGTTCGAGCAATCTCAATGAACGCAACTGATGGGTTGATGCGTGGCATGGACGTAGTTGATACAGGTAAACCACTTACCGTTCCTGTAGGGCAAGGCACACTGGGCCGAATCTTTAACGTACTTGGCGAACCGGTTGACAGTCTTGGTCCTGTAGACAGCAAGGAAGGTCTACCGATCCATAGATCCGCGCCGGCCTTTGTTGACCTGGACACCAAGCTTTCAATCTTTGAAACAGGCATCAAGGTGGTAGACCTTCTTGCACCTTATCGTCGTGGTGGCAAAATCGGTTTGTTCGGTGGAGCAGGAGTAGGCAAAACTGTGTTGATTATGGAATTGATCAACAACATTGCAAAGGCTCACGGGGGCGTTTCTGTGTTTGGTGGCGTAGGCGAGCGAACCCGGGAGGGGAACGACCTGTATGCAGAGATGAAAGAGTCAAAGGTTATCGATGAAGATAACCTCTCAGCATCAAAAGTTGCTCTAGTATATGGGCAAATGAACGAGCCACCAGGGGCACGCATGCGCGTTGGCTTGACTGCCCTTACCATGGCGGAGTACTTCCGGGATGTTAACAAGCAAGACGTGTTGCTCTTTATTGACAACATTTTCCGTTTTGTTCAAGCTGGATCTGAGGTGTCTGCTCTTTTAGGACGTATGCCGTCTGCAGTAGGCTACCAACCTACCCTTGCCACTGAAATGGGTGGATTACAAGAAAGAATTACGTCTACAAAAGACGGTTCAATTACGTCTATTCAAGCTGTGTATGTGCCTGCGGATGACTTAACCGACCCGGCACCAGCCACTACGTTTGCCCATTTAGACGCAACAACGGTTCTTTCGCGGGGTTTAGCATCGAAGGGGATTTATCCAGCGGTAGACCCTCTCGATTCAACATCTACCATGCTGCAACCTTGGATTGTAGGAGAGGAGCATTATCAATGTGCGCAAAATGTTAAAGAAACCCTGCAACGTTACAAAGAGTTGCAAGACATCATTGCAATTTTAGGGTTAGATGAATTGTCTGAGGAAGACCGTTTGATTGTAGCACGAGCTCGCAAGATAGAGCGGTTCTTGTCTCAGCCGTTCTTTGTAGCGGAAGTGTTTACTGGTTCTCCAGGGAAGTACGTAAGTCTAGCCGAAACAATCCAAGGATTTAACTTCATTTTGTCAGGTGAGCTTGACGATCTTCCAGAACAAGCCTTTTATCTTGTAGGTGACATTAATGAAGCTGTTTCTAAGGCTGCTTCACTTCAAAGCAAGTAGACCTAGCGGGGGCTCGATAGGATGGGAAAAGGCCCCCGCCACGGGGGAATTCTGGCCCAAAGGTGTTCCGTTGGCCGATTTTCCCCCCGTGACGGGGTCCTTTGAAACCCTAACCCTGTAGAGATCAGCCAGGAAAGTAAAGCACGGATGGTGCGTGTATTGTACAGGTTTGGGCCCTATCGGGCATGTAATGACAAACGGCGTCAGGAGTCAGAACTCCCTCTTGACACCTTTCTAAAGCCTTGCGCCTAACAGGGCAGTGATCTCTATCCTCGAAATGTCCATGCTCCCCGTGATTTTCTCATCAGTTAACTTATTGATTTTCTCATCAGTTAACTTATTTTAAACTTATTTATACTATTTATGTTAATTGTTAGCAATCAGGTATGAATGACAAACGTGGGGCTGTGGTTGGGGGAGTTGCTGCGCATGGGTTGGGGGAGGGGACCTCCCTCATCCCCTGCCCCCAAGACCTACCCCCTCTTGCATCCCATCGAACCCCACGCCCCTGCCCCCATCCGATGGCTAGGCAATCGAAGAAGCTATGGGGCCCCTTCCATATCCCAACGAGCTTTGGGCCATTGAGGGGGCGGATATAGAGCCCCCAGCGCACGAAGCGGAAGGAGGCACAGAATTCATTGCAAGGCAATCCTACTGCTGTTCTGTTTATGGACTAAGTCTGATGGTTTGACCTTTCAGAGTGGTATCTGCCCGCCCCGTGGGACATTGAACACGTAGAAGGACTGGTCTCTTTGTCTTATTGATAGTCGGTTGACAGCGGACGGGCTACAAAGAGGGCAAGAGACAACTCTTGGTCAGGCATGTTGCCCGTTGAAAACACAGAGAACTCAAGATTTATGACATTACAAGTTTGCATTATGACACCGGATCGAATCTTTCTTAATCAAGAGGTAGAAGAGATTATATTACCTACTAACACTGGCCAAATGGGTGTGCTTACAAACCATGCCCCCCTAATGACGGCACTAGATGTGGGGGTTATGCTAAGCCGCACTAAAACCGAATGGACTTCAGTGGCTTTGATGGGAGGATTCGCACTCGTCAAGCAAAATCAAGTAACTGTGCTGGTAAATGAGGCGGAATCGCCAGAGGCCATTGATCCAGACCAAGCAGAAAAAAATTATCAAGAAGCGCAAGCAAAATGGCTTGAAGCGTCGGGTCAAAAACAAAAGGTAGAGGCTAACTTCGCGTTGAAGCGTGCCCGAGCTAGGTACCAATTAGTGAAGAATACTAAATAAACTTTCGGCTTTTAGCCATTGAACAGAAGAAGACCACCTCCAACCCTCAATACTCCTTCGTCGAAACGACCTGGCCTCCCAGGCTTCACAGGCCTCCTAGGCCTCACAGGTGAAGGGGGGGGGGGGGGAACCCCCCCTCCGCCCCTGCCCCTGCCCCTAACCCAGTCGGACGGATTCGGCGATAGGCTCGCGGGTTTGGGGTTTCGCTGAACCGGTTCGAAAGCCACCGGTTCAGTGAGTTAGAGCACAATTAGTGAATAGTAATAAAAATTAAGTTTTTACTAGTTAGATCTCCCGTCATGTTGGCGGGTGAATTGAGACTAATCCGAAAATAAATAAGTATCTTTAGAAATTGATGCGGCCTGTTTTACCTGTTTGTGGCAACGAAAGCGATGAATTGCGTTGCCGTACAACTCTGCATCGACTTGTTCTAGCCTAAAAGATTCACCAGGCCTTGCTTTACTGATTTCCCGAAGCCGCCTCTAAAATTGAGGCGGAGATGGCGATGGGGGAGGTCTTGGGGGCAGGGGGATGGGGGAGGTCTTGGGGGCAGGGGGTGGGGGAGGTCGTGGGGGGCTTTGCCCCCCAACTCCCCCAACCCATGCGCAGCAACTCCCCCAACCCATGCGCAGCAACTCCGCCAACCCAAATAACGGCCCTCACTCGGTTGCAAATTGGGACAATTGCTGATAGAATTGCTGCTGCATGCATGGCTGAGTGGTCGAAAGCGATAGACTCATAATCTGTTCTCATTAAGAGCGCCGCAGGTTCAAACCCTGTTGCATGCAAATCAACTAATATGAAGGGCGACAAAGCCACATTCCGGCATACAGCTTAGAGTTGGGTGGAGTGGAACACATGTGTGTGCACCTGCATTGCGTGCGCCGAAAGAAATCTTCCCAGGGTAAATTTGGCTTACCGGCAGTTCAATTACCGTGCAATAGACTTGCAACTAAGTTAGATAAAACCAAAAGTAGTAAGTTGAAAACGGCTGCATAGTTGTTATCATATGAGTAACAACTCACTCTAATTATTGCATAGAGGCACGTGTGCGGCATTAGCTGTTGGATACAGCTGCTAAACCAGCACACAATAGCATATGCAATACTGCGAATGCTTGCACTATTATCTTGAGGCATCTCTCCAGCTAGACTCACTCTCTCAAGTGGGCTCTTGCGCGCAGAGGGACATCCAGTATAACTGGGTTGGGGGCAGTTGCTTAGCATGGGCTACCCCAACCCGTTCAGTGAGTTGGGGGCAGGGGCGTGGGGGAGGTTCCCTCCCCCAACCACAGCCGAACTCCTGGGAGGCCTGGGAGGCCTCTGTGAGGCGAAGGTCCCTACAGCCAAACAAGTGTGTGGCCTCTGCCTTGAGGTAATGTTTTTTTTTATGTGGAGATTTACAACATATGACTATTGCCATTGGTAAACCCCAAGAGAAGCGAACTTGGTTTGATGAAGTAGATGACTGGTTGCGCCGTGAACGATTTGTGTTCGTTGGTTGGTCCGGTTTGCTACTTTTCCCTTGCGCTTATCTTGCTTTGGGTGGCTGGTTTACAGGAACCACCTTCGTAACATCTTGGTACACGCACGGCTTAGCAAGTTCATACCTAGAAGGTTGCAACTTCTTAACAGCAGCAGTGTCAACTCCAGCAAACAGCATGGGGCATTCATTGCTCTTCCTATGGGGCCCAGAGGCTCAAGGAGACTTCACACGATGGTGTCAATTGGGTGGTCTTTGGACTTTTGTAGCTCTTCATGGTGCTTTCGCCCTAATTGGGTTCATGCTGCGTCAGTTTGAGCTTGCACGCTCTGTAAAGCTTCGTCCTTACAATGCTATTGCATTCTCAGCACCAATCGCAGTGTTCGTTTCTGTGTTCTTGATCTATCCTCTAGGGCAATCAGGTTGGTTTTTTGCACCTAGCTTTGGTGTGGCTGCAATCTTCCGTTTCATCCTCTTTTTCCAAGGATTCCACAACTGGACACTTAACCCTTTCCACATGATGGGTGTGGCTGGCGTATTAGGAGCTGCACTTCTTTGTGCAATTCATGGTGCAACAGTTGAGAACACACTGTTTGAAGATGGAGATGGTGCAAACACATTCCGTGCATTCAACCCTACTCAGGCTGAAGAGACCTACTCTATGGTAACTGCAAACCGTTTCTGGTCACAGATCTTTGGAGTAGCATTCTCTAACAAGCGTTGGTTGCACTTCTTCATGCTTTTTGTTCCGGTAACCGGTCTTTGGATGAGTGCTATTGGTGTCTTAGGCCTAGCGCTAAACTTGCGTGCTTATGACTTCGTCTCTCAAGAGATTCGCGCAGCAGAAGACCCTGAATTCGAAACCTTCTACACAAAAAACATCTTGTTGAACGAAGGTATCCGAGCATGGATGGCGGCTCAAGACCAGCCACACGAAAAACTTGTATTCCCTGAGGAGGTTTTGCCACGTGGAAACGCTCTTTAATGGCACATTGCTTGTAGGTGGCCGTGACCAGGAATCTACTGGATTTGCATGGTGGGCGGGGAACGCCCGCCTTATCAACCTTTCAGGCAAATTGCTTGGTGCTCACGTAGCACATGCAGGCTTGATTGTTTTCTGGGCAGGGGCTATGAACCTGTTTGAAGTAGCTCACTTTGTTCCAGAGAAACCAATGTATGAGCAAGGCCTAATCCTATTGCCACACCTTGCGACCCTAGGTTATGGCGTAGGCCCTGGTGGGGAAGTAATTGATACATTCCCGTACTTTGTGTCAGGCGTGCTCCACCTGATCTCGTCTGCCGTCCTAGGCTTTGGTGGCGTTTACCACTCATTGGTAGGCCCTGAAACCTTAGAGGAGTCATTCCCATTCTTCGGATATGTTTGGAAAGACAAGAACAAGATGACTACCATCTTGGGAATTCACTTGATTGTGCTAGGCATTGGTGCATGGTTGCTTGTTTGGAAAGCCCTCTATTTTGGTGGGGTTTACGATACATGGGCACCCGGCGGTTAACATTTACGGCTGCCTTTCATAGAAATATGATTTACAACATCTGTCTAAACGGGGAATCTCTTACCCTACATTGTATAATGTAGAAAGACAATCCCGTACTAACCATACAAAAAAGCTTTACCTGACCCTTTATCTGATCAAAGTCATGAGACTTAAGTTGGCCTTTGGAGCAAGGTGGCATTTGCCACCACCTTCTCAAGACACAAGAATCCAAATCACCAAAAAGTACTGTCTATAAATACAGCTGTGCAAGGAACGCAAGGAAATGAGCCAGAGAATGAGATCGATGTGACAGCCTATGCCGTTCCAGGTATATATGAGATTCGCTGCATTCCAAAAAACAGAGTCTACATTGGAGAATCTGAAAACCTCCTCGTTCGTTTAGGAAAACATGCAGCATCATTGGCACAAAAGCAACATGATTGCACCGATCTTCAACAAGATTGGAATCAAATTGGCTTAAAAGGTTCACTCATTTCGTATTCTTTGACATGGTCCTTCTTGGGGCGACGGAGAGAAACGGCGTACCGAAGAAGCGCTTATCTTAAAGGAGAAGGAGAAGCAGAAGGAGTCCTTTTCTGTATACAATACCGATCAAATTACAACGTTTACTCGCAATTATCGTCGGTTAATTGAAATAGACGGTAAAGTCTATGATAGTGTTATTGCTGCTCAAAAAGAAGTTGGTGTTAGTGAAACAACTATTTAGCGACGTCTTCGTGATTCGAAATACCCTACCTGGAAAGAGCTTGACAGGATTAAGTCCGGTTACACAAAGGTTTGTATTGAGGGTCAAGAGTTTGAGAATATTGAAGCAGTAGTGAAGGCTGGCTTAGCTAACAATCGCGGCACTTTAACGCGGCGATTAAACTCGTCAGGATCAAAGTGGAAGAATTGGGTAAGGTTAGGTAAAGTCTCGTAAAGCATAGAGTTTTGTATGAATGTCTAACGACTATCCCGAAAGGGAGTAGGGCACAAGCGTGCCCGAAACGGCAGAAACCTTCGTGTTTGGATTTCAAGCAAAAGGTTAAGATATAGTCTGATCTCTACAGAAATGTAGAGTAGTTGAGAACTGGCTTCTCGACGGGACGATGTAGCGACTCGTCTGAACACATATGGGAGATGTACGAATTATTAGCAATCCAACAATAAGCCCAGCAGTAATCTTTGGATATCTGCTTAAATCACCATTTGGTGGTGACGGCTGGATTGTTAGTGTAGACAACCTTGAAGACATTATCGGCGGACACATCTGGATTGGAACACTTCTTATCCTCGGTGGAGTTTGGCACATCTTAACTAAGCCGTGGGCCTGGGCACGACGTGCATTTGTATGGTCTGGTGAAGCATACTTGTCATACAGCATCGCCGCTGTGTCAGTAATGGCATTTGTCTCATGCTGTATGTCTTGGTTTAACAACACTGCATACCCAAGTGAATTCTACGGCCCAACTGGCCCGGAAGCATCTCAATCACAAGCCTTTACCTTCTTGGTTAGAGACCAAAGGCTTGGAGCTAACGTTGCTTCAGCTCAAGGACCAACAGGTCTTGGTAAATACCTAATGAGATCACCTACAGGTGAAATCATCTTCGGCGGTGAAACCATGCGATTCTGGGATTTCCGTGGCCCATGGCTAGAGCCTTTGCGCGGTCCAAACGGACTAGACCTGAACAAGTTGAAGAATGACATTCAACCTTGGCAAGAGAGACGTGCGGCTGAGTACATGACACACGCACCATTGGGCTCTTTGAACTCAGTTGGTGGTGTAGCAACAGAAATCAACGCGGTGAACTTTGTTTCACCACGTAGCTGGCTGGCTACCTCGCATTTCTGCCTGGGGTTCTTCTTCTTTGTAGGCCATTTGTGGCATGCTGGTCGAGCTCGTGCAGCTGCTGCAGGCTTCGAGAAAGGTATTGACCGTGACAATGAGCCGGTTCTTTCTATGCGACCTCTAGATTAATCTAGATTAGCTGCTTTCCACCCTCCAACGCTTTTCCACCTCCTCAGTTCTGTCTAAGTGGTTGATTTGTCGTTTGATCTCTCTTTTTTACCCCCTTTCTTATTTTTGGGGGGTAAAAAGGAGGGGGGAAATTCGTTAGCCAATTGTTCAGTCGTTCGTGGAACAAAAATGAGATAATAGAAGCAATTATTACGCTGTAGGATGTAGAAGATTGCAGAAACTAGAAGCGACTATGCGGATGGGGGCAGGGGCGTGGGGTTCGATGGGATGGGGGGCAAAGCCCCCCACAACCCGTGCATCCCATGCACCCCTTTAGGGGTGCAAGGGATGCACGGCCTTGCATCCCTTGCACCCCTAAAGGGGTGCATGGGATGCAAGAGGGGGGGGGTCTTGGGGGCAGGGGCGTGGGGGAGGTTCCCTCCCCCAACCCATGCGCAGCAACTCCCCCAACCACACCCAGCTCTACCTTTATAAACTATAAAATCGGATAAACTAAAAACGATCGGGAGACCCTTTTCGGCTAGCTTAGTCAGGTTTTAGTTTTAGCACCATTCGTCGAATGGACATGCGTGGTTACAGTCCGGTCTGTGCCCTTTCAGATCGGTAAAATTTTGCAAGTATTTTGCCTTCTGCGTTACTTTTCGCCAGAGCCCTGCTTACTACTATTGGATTGTAAGGAAGTAGTTAATAAGACGCTACGCTACGGTTTAAAAACCTCGCTTTTCGCGACACAATAAACTTGTTTAAAGAGTGATTTGTAATAAAAATTGGTTTGGTTATCTCAATATAAAAGACGGGGAATACTAGTTTAGTAATAGGTGACTAGGGAAG